ATTTCGACCGTATTGGATAATGCGCCGGCGGTCACGGTCAACCGTTGGGCGACCGGAGCGTGCGATTTTTGGGGCCGACCTTTTCTAACCCGTCCTTCCTCGGGGGAAGGCAGCATCGCTGCTTCCATAAATATGGACATGCTGGTCGCCTGGGGGAAACACCTCACTGCCTTCACACTCCTGTCGCAGAGGACGGTACGACTTTACCCCCAGACCGCCCCGTACCACGATTGCTCGTAGTGCGGGGTCTCGCTGCTCTTGGTCTGGCTGCTCCCCTTTGGTCTTCCTGGTATGGTTGCACCTTGTGGAACGGAGTTCCAGCCAGGCCCGTGGGTGGGATCATTGAAGCACTCAAGCCCGACCACCACGTCAAGGTGGCAGCTTTAGGTCGGGCCGGCTAGTGGTAGGATGTTTTTCGATCATACGTCAAGGTGGCAGCTTTAGGTCGGGCCGGCTAGTGGTAGGATGTTTCTTTTTCGATCATATTGGAAAATTCGCCGAGGGACCGTTGAGCAACTAAATTTCGCGGTTTTAAGGCCGACTTTTTCCAACCCGTCCACCCTCTGGAGAAGGCAGCATTGCTACTTACACAAACATTAAAATGTTGGTCATGTGCGTGTGTGGGGAACACCTTATTGTTTTCACACTCCTGTTGCAGCGAACCGCGAGACTTCATCTCTGGACTGCCTCCTAGTGGGGTTTCTCAGTGCGTGGAATCGCTTTTTGTCGGGCTGCCCCCATTTACTATCCTTGAATGTTTGAACCAGAAAGTACTAAATCCTAGTCAGTGTAGTCCACAGGGCATCGTCGTCAAAATTGATTGTGATTCACTGCAGCACAACCATGTCAGTGTGTTTGAATAAACCTTATAACTGACATGAGAAAAGTGGGACAGGAAGGCGTTGGAGCCAGACTGTTACGGACATTTAGGGTACCTGCACATCCAACACTCGTGAGGCCATTTGGATGACAATTGATATAGTGAACACCACTCACGTCGGGTGGCTAACATATCTTTTAATGTCCCCAGCCAATCGTGGAAGGCTTCGCGTGGGGTCCACCTTGGAAGACGAACAGCACCCAGACTTTTCGTAACATCCTTCATTTCCCTCTGCCAAGTCAAGCCCTGAGCCCAGACTATATAATCCAACGTCCCTTTTAGTAAACCACTTTTCTGAATCGCGTTTCTTGTTCAGTTTAATTACTGTGATCATTTGGTTTTGGATACAATATTCCCAACTTGTTCATTTGCATATTCCTTCAATAAGTCGTAGTGTGACACTCACCTATCATAGAGGTTTATTTCTGCCTCGTTGTAGAGTATTGCTTGACGTACATCTCAAGTTGGCCGAAATGTCTGCTGATGCTTCCAACGACCCGTTTAGTTCTTTTTATCAGGAAGTGAAGGCTATCGAGAAAAGAGACTCGGTGCTCACACCAAAACAGCAAATTGACAGACTCAATCGTCCCGGATCGACTTACTTCAATCTAAATCCATACGATGTAAGCGTACATATTTTTATTGTCTCTCAAGGTTCTTCAAGTGGATCCCGATACCCCGCTGGCCGACGTGAAGAAAAAATATCGGCAGGTGAGTCGGTTCTTATACACCTCTATTTGTTCCAGCTTTCGCTTCTAGTTCACCCGGATAAAAATCAGAGTGACTCTGAAAGAGCTCAAAAGGCTTTTGATGGTTAGTTATATCCTAAAGGCTAATCTTTGAAGCACTTGCCAAGGCTCACAAAACTTTGGACGACCCAGAGTCGGCTCGTAAATGTCGAGAAGTTGTTGATGAGGCGAAAGCACGGGTTGAACAGATGGTTAGCGTGTTTCGTTCCTTTACTCATTCATCAGTCTTAGATTATCGAAAAACGACAGCGTGCTCGAAAAGCGGGTCAGTCGACGGAAGTTGAGGAGGACGATCCGGAAAAGGTAGATCCACACCTTCTGTCCTTTATCCCTCCTTAGAAAAGACACGCTATCTACGTGCAAACGTGCAAGCTGTTTGCCGATTTGGAGAGGCTACGTGTCGAAGAGGAACTCAAGCAATCAAATGAACGGTAGGAAACAATTTGCGTGTGCGTTCCTTCTGATTTGGACTCCTTACCGCAGCTACTTTGCAGAATTTTCGTTTATTCTATGATTGAAAACTTGCAAGGTGAAATTTCGGCACTTAGCTAGAAAAAACTAGGCGTATGTTATGTGACGCTGAAGGTGCTGTTTTCCTTGTTGTCTTTGTACGGTAACGGTAATCTTTAAGGCGAGTTAGATGACAGGGTATAGCAACCAACTTCTATTGTTTCCTTAAAGCACTCCTGCTGGGGAAACCATAGATGAAACGAAGCAAGTTTTCACTTCGTATGGACATGTGCGCACATCTACCGAGACCCCCATCCCAGAACCGCGTTTTGCGCTCGCCGCTTACAACTCTCATAGGATGCTTATGCGCGTTGTCAATTTTCTGTACTGGCTTTTCAGAAAGCGAAAGGCTGAAGAGCAAGATGAAGAGAGGCGTCGTTTGGAATTAGAGAGGGAGTGGAAGAAGAACTATGAGGCAAGTTTCCGTTCCTATGTCTGTTCATTCCCACACACAACTACTGTATCTATATAGTTTGATGCATAAGCCTAGCTGGACCAGGCCTTCGCCTATCCTCTGCGTGTGAGCTTGTGAGTATCGTTGTTTGCGACACAGTTAAAGTAGAAAGTCATGCTTTCTCTTACTGCTACGTGTCTATTGGCTTGACTGTCTTCTGTCTGACTCCTGTATCACAATTGGTACATTGTGTCTTTAGTAGACCCGCTAAATAGTTATGCGTATACCAAAACGTATGCCTGAGGATTAAATTTATTGTCTACATTATAATGGTACTTTTTGTTAGATACTGAAACGACTTCATCCACCGGTGTTTTGAACAGCTTTCGCTTACGATGCTTGAGCTAGACACTGCACGCGTACTAGACCGGAAGTATCAAATATCAAGATTATCCTTCACATACTGACCCAAGAAACGAGGGCTGTGTTCCCGCATCGTCATACTGATGAGAATCGGTTATGATCTCCGCGCGCCTTTTGTCCAGCTAGCTGGATACGTGCATAGTATGAATTGTCGTAAGCACCGCTTTTTGAACTTGCTGCTCAAAACTCTGGGCTACAAAGTCAGTTCATGCGATCCCGAGACAGCGCTGGATAGTAGTGGGAAAAACTATCTAGTTATAAGTGAAATAATTGTTTCAGTGAACTCATCAAACTGGGTTTAATCTTCGTTTTCTTGTCCATTGATATTGAAGTAAACAGCAACCGTATCCTTGAATTGTAGGCCCAGTAATAGTGCATCTGGTTGTAAAATACGTGTGAGTACAACAAATCCCCCGCGGAAATCCAAAGCCTAGATAGGCTTCTGTAAGGGAAACAGTAATTTCGGTAGGGTATAGTAACCGAGTTTGGCTGCTGTCAGGGTCACTGTCAACCACAGAGATGTCTGCGGAAATCTAATTCTATATAGTTCGTCGTCGCGGGCCAAACCGTCAAATTTTTGGGCTGCAAGTGGTCAGGGTACAAGATCATTTCGCGAAGTCGGACTGTTTGACCTCGCCTGGAGGGACGATATAAATCTTCTGGTATTATTGTTCTAGGTGGTGGAAGACTGTGCAGAGATTTTGGAAGCCTGCAGCACGTAGACACTGGGTGCTATGTGCACCTTCGCGGACCACTGAGCTGTGCTTAGCCTTAACGTTGATTGTAACATTCAGCATCTGAATGACCCCAAATTATAGCAGCTTTGTTGAGCCATTTGGATTGTGGAGTCTGTTGTACAGCGACTTGCCTACTGTACTACTCTGTGCTATTCTTAGCCCTTATGAATAAACAACACTATCTTCCCTGAGTTGCCACGTACGTCAGATTCGAGTGCATCTCACGCGTCATTTCTCGGTACCACCATTGGCTGTCCTCCGATAGTAATCTTTCATCAGTCAACAACTTGCGAATCAGATTTTTATCAGGTCTAGGCAATGCAAATTTCCGCTTCACATACAGACATGTAACTTGAGCTCAGCTTACAAACCATGACCGTTTCCTTCTTATCTTTTAGGAAAGCCGTAATGAGCGCGTGGCAAGTTGGCGTGACTTCAAAGCAAAAAAATCAAGGTCGAGTAGGGGGTTGAGTGGATTCAAGCCTCCCAAAACGAAGATGGAACAGCGGCCAACCTGACCACTTTTACTATTCGATGCTTACAATCTGTAACATATGGACGCATACATCCGAAACAACTACCTTTCCTTCACCCCTGATGCTCTTGTATCTTTCGGGTTTTTCTTGTTCCCATCCCTGGCAGTCATGGTGTAAAATATGAAGTTTGTTTTTATGCCTTTCTGTCGATTACAGTCTACAAAATTTCTTCAGCCACCACGACAATCCCTCAGTGGGCGACTCTTCCTAAGGAGGCCACTCTCATGGAGAGGGCTCTGCAACATCCGTCACATGTAACGTATCCCGTACGGAGAACTCCCCCGTTTCGATGTTTCTTGCTGGGAAGGTACTGTCCCAAATCCATTGGTCTAGCACATTGTGTTTACTGTACATCCATGACACAAGTCAGCTGCATAATTGAACAACCTCCAGCCACGACCGATCCCTTTGGTTCTCGCCACGTGCGCCTCGTTTTCATGGCTTAGCGGTAAAGTCACCAGCTGCTGATCAAAAGTTCGAGTCCGCTCCTGACGTACCGGTGGTTCCTGCTTCGGGCAGAGGAATGTGACATTTTCCTAGCTTTCATGTTTCCGAATGAGTGCAGGGAAGCTTCGCGCTGAAAGAATGTCTTATGGTCACTAATTTGCTGTGCATGCGATGGTCCTGAAACTCGGCTTTCCATGGCCGATTTCACTTGGGCTTGGGCATCTCAAACCACTCTTTGAATGTGATCTAAGTTTGGTTGTTATCAATTCAGCCACCTGTTGGGTTGTTCTCTTTCGTGCTTAGAAATTACTCATCCAGCAACCTCGATATTATAGAGTCTCCTATTGAAAGCATGCATCGTCCAGTCCATACAAGTTCCACAAAGAGCATCATGCGGTCACTATCGTTCAGAGCACATTGATTATTGACTAACGCTAGCTTGGTACTCGTGTATGCAATAGGTGATGCGGGCCACTCTCCGCGTAGATGTTCTCATGATTTGCCAGTTATGGTCATCGAAATCGAACCATTCTAGTCATCCTCGAGTTTACACCGGGTAAATGGCGTTTGGTCAGATGCGCAATCGGCTCAACACAAAACGCTTGTAGCAGTGCCAGCTCTGCGCGGTTATTTTTCGGCGTGGTTGGATATGATAGGCAAATCGGAAATCCATCTCGACCAATAGGAATGTTGACGCACCCCGTGGGTCAAATTAGTTGGATGAATTTTCTCAACAAATTACACTTTGAGAAACGTGAAAAGTGCAATCAGACCTACAAAGAGCCGCTGCCGAACATCTTCCACTGCCAGTTATAAGGCGCCTCAAAGAGGTAATGCATCAGCTAAGTAGACTCTGCAATAGATTACTAAGGTCCTAGTGAAAGCGCACCAACCTTGGTCCTTTGTAGATGCAGAATGTCGAAAGGTGTTTCTTAGGCAGTTGGTACCACTCAGAATGGAGCTGTGTGCTTAGCCCCGTCAAATCAGCGTGGACTATATCCACTCACAAGCCGTAATCGCACGCGGGATGATCTGATACCTACTATCGACCGGTCTATTATCCCCAAAAGGTCACTGTTGTCCCAGCTAGACATTGAGATTTATACGTCACCTTTACGCTACAAAATCATTCTGCATTCACGAGCATTCCACTCACCAATGGTGACAATCATAGCAATTTCCCGATCGCGCGTTCGGTGGCACTCGTGCATCGAAGCTATCGCCTTCGATGCGTAGCTACCCGGTTCCAGAGCTAACTGAACGTGCCGTCGCCTCCGATGTTTGTCTGTATCTCCCACGCTTTCCCACTTCTGGTGATCAAAAAGGTTGTATCTGGAACTAATGCACCCATGGTACGTGATTTATGGCTGGTAAACTGAAAATTGAATTGATAAGCATTGTGGGCAGTAATCATACCTCCTTGGGGCATGCCGAAGATTAGTCATGGTAGAGATGTTCTTTGCCGTCACAGAAAGTTCGAAATTCATGGATGATAGGAATGGCTGGCTACACCTTTAAGACTTCTTCTGGACAAGCGTTCTCGCCGCCATCTCACATGATTAGTCCCAACTCTTCTCGTAATGCTCTGAACTGAGAGAAATCAAGAACAAATATTGCTTGCTTCGAGCAGTGAAACAATTCACTTAACTGACTTGCGTAGCTACATTCAATTTCTTAGCCGTCACCATCCGTAGATAAAAGTCCCATGAACAGATACAGTTACTACTCTTTCTGACGGGTCCTATCACAATCGTTTTTCGTCCGGTGTTCTTCACCGTGATTGTTGAATTCACCATTCACAGCCAGTACTGAACTGAATTCGAATTAAGTGTAAACACTCCCTCATGAGGGGGATGGCATTTATTGACAGTGAGCCAGTGGAGTTTTCCCCGGTTGGCACTTCGTATTTTTTGCTAGTTTTTTTTCAAAGCCATAACTCACCTGCAAGCCAAATTAGTGGGTATGCCTACAAGGGGGCTAGAAGTGTCTTGGGTGCTTTTGTCACGTCACACACGTGGTCTCAATCAGATTCTGTTATTCGACAGCCCCCCTTGATTGGTGCTCACTACGGACTATTGTGCTATCGCGGTTCGTGTGGGTGAAGACAGCTCACTCAACAATTGCTCAAGATTTCAAGAAGTACTCGTATCCAGATTATATGAAGTTCAAGTTTAGTATGATTCCACTGTCTTTCCTGGAAACGGGATGTCAGCAGGTCAGCCAAAGTGTAGTTGTCAATCCATGTTAGGTTGGGTGACCAGACCAGCTAATACAATCCTTTTTGACATTTTCCCATAGCTCACTGAAACCTATTCACGGACCCTTGTCTTGAACATACCATCCGACCGGCTTAGAGTGGATTGCTCTGTGTCAAATACAACAGACTCAACTGGATCTCTCGTTTATGGCGGCCCTCAAGACCGCCTCTTATTGCAGTTGGTACGATATTCGTGATATCACGACACATTGTCTAGACTCAGCACACTATTATGGTTACTGAAAAATCTTCGATTTAGATCACCACCCCATAGTGAGTACTTCTGCCACTGGCGGCTCATGCATAATCCACTCACTGACATCACCCGTGATACAGTTCAGCAAATTAACTTAATTTCACTCATGTCAAATTTGAAACACCGCTTTATTCATTTCATCAAAATTACGGTAGTCACTTTCAGTCGCAAACTTAGTGAGCATTGCAACAAATGCTGGACGCACATTAGGTCCTCTTATCAGATATTTCCAGCTGCTCGATTACACCTATCCAACCAGAGAACTGGTTTTCCACACTCATTTCAAGAGTATGCCTGACCAGTCTATCGAATAGCTAGCTCTGTGTCAGTTCACTTGCGCTCGAAAGCATACCCAAAACAAACCGATGCTCTAAGTGGATATGGGAAAGCTTCCGGGAAGAAACAAACGGCTGACAGCCGTGAACCTGGCAGAACACGATTCGTGACCAGCGTCAAGTAACCAGAAGTGTTTGATTGCGCATCCAGTTTCTCGAATACGTTTGGTAGCTGACTTCTCAGGACTCCTAAATTCCGCAGCGTAGCCGAACTCCAAAACCGTTAGCCGTTGTGAATAAATCCTAATCAAGAAACTGATCACAAAAATCTGGTTCAGACAGTCCATTGCCCTCCATCATGGTGTGACGCTCAGTGTTGACTGCGCAATGACCTTTCAGATCAGAAAAGCCATTTAGCCATTCCGTAACCTGTGTTAAGAACATCATCAGTTGGGTTCCAGGTGAGCCTTCCGTCAAAACCAGATTGGTATGCCAATCAGTGTATTTGTTCAGTGTCAGTGCAATTTGGGTTCACGTTAAATACAAGGTTGATGGGAACTCAGGGACTGCGTCTACCTGATAGGCCCCGAGAAGACCGAAACACGTCGTGGGCTGTCGAAGAGTTTCAGGAGTCTTATGAGTAGTTTTTTGCGTCTACTGTATTGTTGGTGTTTTGATTAAAACCTTATGGTTCTGATGTTTGGATAAAACGTGAGCTACAGTGGCTCAATATTCTCTTCACAACTCCGATTATTGATTAACTATACAAAACTGATCATATGACAATAAAGACATATTTGAAAATGAAGTCGGTGCTAGTAGCTATCTTAGCCGAAATCCGCCTGAATCGCTGGTGTAGAATATTCTCTGGTTCGGCCTGTCATCACCAAGTTAATTTGCATATAACTATTTATCTCAAACTACGTTTAAGGACTAGGCCCACCTGATAAGCGCGGAGAACGTCTGTGCAGTGTTCGTCATGGGGGAAAATAACTCTGTTATTGAAGGACCACTGCCCGTAGGGTTGATAAAGGCTGTTAAACAGCCTACAAGCTACTTCATCCTTTTTGGAGCCCGTTGAGTGGGCGCGGTTCCAGAGTTTCTGTAAAACTTATGTCTTCCTTAAACTAGAATTGTGCGAAATTCGCCCAGTGCACTTTTGCGCATAAACTTGGTTTTAAGGGGAGACTCGGCTGAATCTCAACTCATCCTCTTGCTTATTATATTCTTTCACTGAATGTGCTACAAAAAGGTCGCCTCATGTTTCGCCTTATGCGATATTCGAGGCAATATCGCTCACAAGGCCGATGAACACTCTTAGACGGCCATGACCGATTGTATGCGGTTCATATCGGCTGCACTGCCACAATGGAGATATTTTACTGATGCCTCTTTCGCGAAGCCACCTATTGCTCACCCAGGAGATCAGGACTGTGAATCAGGAAGGCGTAACCGAGTGATATCAGATACGTAATCTCCAGGATACCGTCATGTGTGGCAGAGCTCAGGAAATAGCGGCGCAAGTCAACTACACTACTTATCAGTGCTCAGTAGTTCGAAGTTAGCGGCGTATTCTTTGGCATGTTGCCCGAGAATTGTGACCACAGGCTACCCACGTATTGCGTGCGTAACGACCCCAGCCTCGGACACCTCTTCGAATCATGAAGTCTAGTTTACATGACTGCTCTCGAACTCCAATACACAGGAGATGGACTAGCTTTCCCATTGCTATGCGTTGCCTGTCCGAAAAGAGTATTTAATTCCCAAATGGATCCAGATCCGTTTATTCTTGCCTTCGGTGACACAGCTCTGATGATCTAGAGGCTGCTTTGTCTGACTACGCAGCTTTCGATACTGTTTTATTTAACCGGGTCAAAATATCTGCTTGATTGGCTGATTTGCAATCGTCGCCGCTGCGTTTTTAATTTAGGAACTTCTATCACGGAGTTGGGCCGATGGCGATTAGTCACGGTTTATTCATTGCATCAGCTCACACCCCAGAAGACCGTAGCTTCGATACTGCTAAGTACAGCATTCACGACTCTCTGAGTGTTTTATTATAGAGAGCTGAGAGCTCATGTTTTGTCAATGAAATGTGAATGCTCAGATAGAAGGTCACACTTGTGCTGAGACTCAGTTGTATGGTCATCTTCAGGTGGACTTGTCAGTTTGTATCTACTGTAATCTGTTGCTGCGCAGCGCTTACTTCCGGAAGAGCTGAAGTCACTGAGTGCTGCATTTCTCTGCACTTCCCGCAGGTGCGCATCTGGAAAGTTTACTGTCCCCGAAATGACGTGAATATACCGAAACTGTTATCCGCTCACACAGGCTTTCGTTTCCTCTTTGTACGGAAATAAACCCCTGTTGGATTTGCAAGCCATGATAAGTGATAGACTTTCTGTTTGCGACTCCATCCAAATGTCTGGCCTCAGTCAGGAATCTGAGAGGAGTGTTCCAGTTAGTCACAAATATATAGTGGAATCAGACATCTAGAGAAGCCAAGTATTCGTACGGACCTTGAAGAAAACTTGGTGACATTGGTCACAGCTTATCCGTCCAACAGGTCAAAAAAGCCTTTTCTAAAATAAAACCATCCGTTACGAAAAGGATCTTCTGGCCTTGAACAAACAATCACGCTTAGATTAAGCTGATTACCTGCTGCTGCCGGGCGAGAACTCCTATCGCTAACAGGATTCTGGGAGAGGGCGTGGAATCTCCATGAACTTCAGACACAGGTAAGTGTACTTCCATCTTAAGCTAAACACATTTTACCCTGAGGAATCTTGCTCCGGCTGGAAAGAAAACAATGACTCGTCTGTAGGCCGGTCTGGTGACCTATTCGATTCGGACAGATGCTGACGTCCGGAACGAAGTGACACTCTCCCATTCCCTCCAAGAGCTTCGAGCGAAAACTATCACATGTCCACAAGTGAGTGAATTTCACCACAAATCATGTAATAAAGAAATGCAGTGATGTATGCCCGTTTATAAATCGCAAAAATGCTGCTGTTGTTGCTACTGCTTTGTTCACCAGGTACATTCTGCGTGGATGTGGTCATGAGAAAAACGTCCTTCAATGGAACCAGAGATCAGTCGAAACTGGAGTGGGAGAAACAACACGAGAATGCAACTTGGAATAATATCAATAATGGCGTTGTAGTAATAAAAATATCACTTTGACTTGATGGAAATGATTGATTAGTGTTGTATTCGTATATCCACAGCCTCTTTTTCAGAAAAAAAGCAGTGAACCACCGGTTGCGTGACAGACGAGGCGAATGAATCAATGATTCCATGAGAGGTCTATTGCCACCACACAGTTTGTCCGAGGTCATAGGACACAAGATGGTGTGAAATGATCAAATGACTGCGGGGTTCCTCATTTCTCTCCGCGTCTTATGAGTTTTTCAACGTCTGGATCCCAAGATATTACACGCCGGTTGACAGGGTCGTACTTCCCGGCAATAAAATATAATGGTCCGTTTGATGCATCACTGTCACTACTGTTCGGTGAACTGATATCCAAGATGTTGACATGGTTCAAAAGACCAGGTTGTGAACTGCTATCAGTGAGTTGTTCGAGGCATTGTGCGGTCGGAGTCTCCTTTTCTGGACATTCGAATTTCCGGTTGACCTGTTGGAAGGGTGAAGAAACATGTCGGGAATTTACAGAAGAGGAGAGGCTGTAAGATTTTTTGGCGTGATACTTAACTCTTGATGTTTGCAATGGAAAATAACAGCGAACTCCGGCTTGCCACCATTCTATGAGTAAAACTACGAGGCCAAAGCATTCGTTGTGTGAAAAATAAATAAAAGAGGTTTAGTTTCCGAGAAATACACTTATTTTGCAAATCAATTTGGTTTTGACGAGAGGCTCAACTGAATCCCTCTTTAATGGTGTCCTCCAACTGAATGTGCTGCACACAGGCCGCCTCATGATTCAGTTGGGACGATATTCGAGATATCGCAGTATATTTTCATAAAGGAAACTACTTACAAGGTTGCTGAGAACTGTTCGACAGCCCACGAGCGGTTTCGTCCTTCTTGGAGCTCTTCAGGTAGGTGCAGTCCCCGAGTCGAGTCGCTCGTGAAAACCGAATTGATTTGCAAAATGAGTGTATTTCTCGAAAACAGTCCAATTTGGGTTGAAGCAGAACATAAGGTTGACGGAAACTTGGGGACTGCACCGACCTGATGAGCCCCAAGAAGGGCGAAACCGGCCGAGGGCTGTCGAAGAGTTTTCACGTCGAACAGTTTTCAGCAACCTTGTGAGGTCTAGTTTCAGTTGATTGACGAGGAAACATAAAGTTGGTTCTGAGATGTAGCGGAGATATTGTGTAAGTCTCAAATTACAGGTCATCCTCTCAGACTATACCCGTCAGTTAGGCAATATATTCGATACAAAAAAGAAGTTGGATGTTCCAATCAGAAAAACTGGGCCCATTAGCAAGTTAGATTACGTACAATCTGGCGTTTAGATAAAACGGAAGTTTATCGGAAAATTGGAGACGTAACCTGGACGATGGGCACGAAGGACTAGGAATCGTGGAATCGATTTACTTGTACTTAATCAACCGTCAACGCCCACTCGCTCAACAGCGCTTAACACCGACTGCCAAAGTCTACAAGTGCCCCCCCCCACAACGTCCGCTAGGAAGGACTGGCGGAGTGTAGTCTGTTGTTTTAGGGGGCGTACCGTTACATTATACTTCAAGGGACCATCTGAAAGGTCATCTGTCTTGAACAGGACAGTGTAACGGTAATATGACATGCGGTGGACGTAAAGACATGGAGTTGACATTGTGAATGGATCATTCGAAGTTATGACTGAGAAAGCGGTGTGCGCACAAAGCCGAAATCACTTTTACACTGTAGCTACTTAATCAACAACAAGCGCTGTCAATTCGAGTACAAGCTCGTGCATAACATTACTTGGGAACAAATTCGTCACAACTGCTGCTCGATATTATTTTTTGCTCAGTATTCGTATAAGTTGAATGAAGTTCTCCGAGTCTCTGCTGGGCGCTTACTTAGTAAAGATAGACCATGCATTGGTGGAAGCTGGAGCGCACATCAGCTTGATACAACGAAACAAAACATGTACGGAGTCAAATTTCCGACAGTCAAAAAATTCAACAGACGCAGAGAAATTTCAGGAAATCGTGATCGAAAGATTCTCGGGACCTACTCTTTCGAGGTCGGTGAGGGAACAGCGAAGTGCAGCGGAACCGCACGCGATACGTTGAAGTGAAGCCAGCATTAAGTGGTTGTTTTGAGGCGAATAACGATGGCTTCACGCCAGTCGTTAGGCAAAAGATTGCAGCACAGAAAATAAACCATCAGACTTAATCGCCCAGGGAATATTTCGCACCGCAAGAACCAGTCTCACGGAACGTGTGAGCTGAAGGACAAATGACTGGTGAAATAAAACGAAGCGTTGTAGTTGCATGCAGAACACTGTCGCCAGAAAGGTTTCTTTAGAGTAATGAAGAGTGCTTTCAACTAGTCCAAGATGTCCAGACTCGTCAAAAGTTCCCCAAATATGAAAATATAGCACCTGTACGGAAGACCCACTTCTCAGTGCTCAACTGCCCGGAAGCAAATACCGCAGCGCACAGAGGATAACCATGTAAACGATTATAACATTTTCGAGGAGCTACAAACTGGGATGCATAAAGGTGACGTGTTTGGATACGACTGGTCACCTGGTGAAATGCCATCCACCGAATCCACTTAGTGAATGAAGCTGAATATGACCAACAGTATTAGAAGAATACCGAAAATGAGACTAGAAGACAAGTAACTACCCAAGAATCAGACAACCTGCACTGTTAGCACACCGGTTGAAAGCGAAGAATTCGGAGGGAAGCTTTAGGCGTCAGACAGAGTGGCACTGGTATAATTTCTTTCGATGAGAAACGCGTGGGAAATACCGTGAAAGTAACTAACAACCATGTTCACTGATTCCAGCAAGGGAAAAAAAGTGGGCTGTCCAAACCTTGAAAGGCCATTTTACTGAGATAAAGGCAAAGATCCTGAAATTTCATTCATAGGTTCATTCATAGCACGATGATAGTGAAACAGCGGTAGACTGTTGCGCCGGCTTTATTCAGCTTGTACCTGACTGCACGAGAGTCCAAAATTCAGATGAACCAGGTGTACAGTATCGCCTACTAATTTCAAAACGTCTCCCAGACAAACGATTACTGCTATATAGCTTGGATTTCCTTTACCTGACTGACATCCTCTGAAGCGAAATAGTAGCGTGGAGTGAAACGTTTCGCATCAAGAACACATCATTTTAGCTTATTGTAGGAGTTTCTTGAGTGAGTACTCTCCAACAACCGCGCTTCTTCGATGGCAGCAAGATTTGCCGAACAAACAGGTCTATGGTAGTAGAATAACGCATTACTCAGACTTCTGAAATCTCCAATGATCGACAACAATGTGAACACAAACATCCAACGCTATCGTCTTATATGGAGGACTTCAAAAACCCGTCTGCGACTGCGGACTGATGAACATGTGTCTACACCATTATAAGGCAGCGAGACACGGACGATAGACCAAGGTAGTATCGGAACCTAGGCTGGGAGAGTATCCCAATCACACAGATTATCTGGAAATCAAATATGAATGGAATCGAAAGTAGTATGATCTACGAACAGATGCCATGTGGAAAAAATACGACACTGGGTCGAGAAACACGGAAACTAACGGAAACGATAGACTTCAATTGAGTTTAAAACATCCTAATATTGATTTTAGATCACGGGACTGATTGGGTAGGTATGGCAAAATGTCCAACGAGACATTTGGTCGAGTGCGAGATAGACGCAACCGCATTTGAAAACATATAAGTAAACAAGTCCACCCAACCGCGCAGTGATGACGTCTCCTCGAAAGGTAACGAAACACTTGCAGGTTAGTCGCCGGGCTCGGTGAACGGAATAACAGCCACCTGATGAACTACCTATAGACATGTGATATCTGAAGAGGATGGTACTCCGAATAACCTCTCGTGTTCGTTACGGTCATCTGAAAATGCGAAAACTCTACTGATGCGAGAATGGTTATTTGGCCCTTGTTCGCCTAGATGGCTTCAGAGCATATATGCAGCGAATTTCAAAACCCTATGGTGATTCCCATAATACACGTACCGTGAGTGAGAAACCAATGGTATTTCGCAAATTTATTACGGTCACCAGTATCCCAGAGGACCATCGGTCAGTTTCAATACTAAAAGGTTTCAATTTCTTCACCATTTATAGGCAGTCCCCTCAGTTGAGGGAAACGTGGAGGACAGACAATTAGGGAACGTCGCGGAATTCCAACTTGTTATTGCAAATTCGAACCAGATGAATCAGTTCCAGGCGCGGTGATGGGTTCTTTAAGATCACTCTGATGCTCTAGTGTTAATCATTTAAGGGTCAGATCTTTGTGAGGCTCATATTCGCTTCCCTTCCATCCCAGTTGACAGATGTTCATTAGCGTATTTGAGCTTGATACTGATGAGAGAGAGAGTATACCTTAAATGCCTCATACTGAGACTGATAAATGACCTGTGATGGAGTGTAATAGTGTACTAGTTACCTGTGGACTGTCTGGATATAACGGGACATTTGGGTGGACGACTGAGGTTGTCCTGCTCTGAGGTTCTTTCACGGTAGAGTCGGACATCTGGCGCTGGCGGTACTCAGCGTAAGTCGGGAGAACCACGGCATGACGACTGATACATCTGGCCTCATTTTCATCCACGTGGTCTGTGGCGAACAATGCTCCCTTGATATCTGAAACACGTTGACCATCGGCTCCAGCCTCTTCGGGGTTGTAAAACCTATATATGACAAAAACAGACGCTGAATACGGGTCGTCCATCGCGGACCATAAAGAGTAACTTAGATAATCCAGCAGAAATCAAGACTCCTTGTTTTGGGAAGTAAGAAGAAAGCTGTCTCGGGCTCAAGACAATCTGCTTACCTCAGTCGGCCTCGTGACCCCAACTGCACCATATGTATAGATCCTAGATAAAGTGACTGATCAACAATTTCAGGTAGCCTCAAAGTACCTTTTACTTCGACGAATACATCAATTTGCATACGCAGATGAAACCCAGCTGAATCTCTTGTTTGTGCAAATGAGTGTATTTCGCTAACTGAAACACGTTGACCATCGGCTCCAGCCTCTTCGGGGTTGTAAAACCTATATATGACAAAAACAGACGCTGAATACAGGTCGTCCATCGCGGACCATAATGAGTAACTTAGATAATCCAGCAGAAATCAAGACTCCTTGTTTTGGGAAGTAAGAAGAAAGCTGTCTCGGGCTCAAGACAATCTGCTTACCTCAGTCGGCCTCGTGACCCCAACTGCACCATATGTATAGATCCTAGATAAAGTGACTGATCAACAATTTCAGGTAGCCTCAAAGTACCTTTTACTTCGACGAATACATCAATTTGCATACGCAGATGAAACCCAGCTGAATCTCTTGTTTGTGCAAGTGTATGTATTTCGCTAACTTTGGGTTTAGGTAGAACACAGGTTTGACGGGAATTCGAGGACTGTGTCTACCTGATAAGCCCCAAGAAGGACGAAACCGCTCGGCTGATTACCAGCGAGTAGTATGTTACTTCTACCCTCTTACTTCTTGCTAGACAGGCTTGAACATGAACCAGCCGATCCACATCTCCCATCACGCACAATGGAGTGCCTGGAATCGAAACAGCTGGGGGAGGCGAAAAAAAGAAAAGAAAAAAATCAAAGCGACAAGCCAGCAATCGAAATCCGCGACGTCAGTGACGCTCCACACGGGCTTCCCATTAGCTTAGGCTGGTCGTAGCACAATCGGAATGTTGAACAGCTTCTACATGCATCGCCTGGGCGGATTTTTGATGTTCACCGGACTAGACGAGTGCCAGACACAGGAGTACTCCGAAGGGGGCGTTGTGATGAAACCGAGGTCACGATCACATTCTACCTTATACACAGTGACTGGACGGATACAGTTTTCCACAGAACCTTTCATATAGCCAAGCGACTACGATGAAATGGAACCCTGGCCAACAAAAGCATCGACATCTGGATAGCTTGAGTGGAAGTCTAGAAGAAGCTGAGATGAATCTCATGGAGTAGGAAGTCGGCTCATAAAACAAGCTGACACGGAGTAAGACGACAGGAAATAGAGTTTCTTCACTTCGACGAGCGCGAAATTCGAGCCAGAGTACCAAGGCGTGCAAAATGGAAAGGTGCCATTGGAGCCGTTGGATATGGGGAACAAAAAAGCTAGATTTGAGCGACTGTGGACGTGCTTGTTCTGGTCGCCCTGGATTGGTCGACTCCCTGTGAACACACAGTGATCGGACGGCGAAACATCAGCGGGTGAAGTAAGTCTATCAGACTCGCCTAAGCCTCCTGAAGCCACCAGGTCGCTGAGCCTGCGGCAGTACAAGAAGTGGGTTTCATCGCCTACCTTAGAACCCTGAACGCGATGGTGCTAAGGGTACCATTCAATTATCATTATTATGTGAACGGAACCAAGTCGAGTCACGTCTTCTGGGTTCGGTCTATCAGGAAAGTAGCTCACAGTCTATCGAAAGCGTACATCACTGGTTAAAATTTTAGGCTGCTCCTAACCATATGTGCAAGGCCCGCCTTAATATCCTGGATATTCCAAGGCATTAAGCCCACAACGGTGCTAGAAGTGACTCTCAGTGACCATCATTCTACAAACCAAGATGGATAGTGCTTAGCACTACCTGGCCATATGCATGTGCTTAAGGTGACGCCCAAACATGGTGCGGGGCATTAGACATCCGTTTGCATACGCTGTGAATATCAACTGTTTGGTGGTGCCCACGACCCGGACATATGGGGCATATGGGTAATTCCCCATTGGGATTCTCGTGTTTGGGTGCTGGGACGGACAGTGTTTTTTCTAACATCCCCTTGGTAAGTTGCATTATAATGCACTGTATCCTTTTGAGTCCTGATTTGTTGTATCTTGTTGCATTCTATTGTGTATCCATCTACAGGAGGCCCACACTAACACTCCAGACATTAGAGAATGTTAAGTTTATAACAATTCTAGAGGTGACCATCGCTGTTCAAACCCAGCTGAAAGATGGCTAGCACTAGCTAGCCCTATGTATAGGCCCAGGATGCTTCATCTAAGTGGGGTGGACCACCAGAACCCAATTTGCAGGCCTTATGGGACTCAACCGTTCGGTCGTACTCAATTTAGTTGACAGTTATGGGCAGCCAGAGAGATAGTCTAATGGCTTGAGAACTCACCCCTCTTGATTGCCTTCCGGCTTTATTCACTCGGGTTTACACCAGGTACAGAACTTTCAAGTGAGTGCGTATGCCATGCAGCGCAAAACTTATGTGACAATGGTGCGGGTGCCTATCGATGTATTCTGATGTGATAGGTCATTCCGGAAATGAAAGCCAGTCCACCATATCCTACAATGTGAAAACCGAGATTCGTAAAACCTAAAAGTGACATTTTTGTTTATCCATCCATTCAAGGTCGCCTGCAAATTGTGCTTTCTCGGGCCGCCCAGTACCGGCTGCTTGAGCAGTTGAATTCGAGCGGAATCGTAAACGAGTCCTCTGCACTTTGCAGTAGACCTGCACAAGACTCTAGCAGTCTTGAGATTTGAGTTCTAACAAGCCCAAATCAATGTAGCTTCAGCATAATTCCGAATATTAAGAGATATTATTCGGTAAAGTACGGTCATATGGCTATACGGCTTTAGTAGACCAACAGAAGCAATCACTTTTATGTAATCCATCGGTGACGGTGTATGTTGGATAGCAGCAACTTATCTGTTTGCTTAGCCAGGTCAACAAGCAAGTGGAATGACCAGCAGAAACGGCGCCAACCAAGTCACATGTCTGAATGCCTGATTTCATCTCTCAACAGACTTTGGGACAAAGTAAGTGGCCACTGCTGCACGGACAAGTGGAATGCACACGAAATCTGCAAAGCCCCACTTCAGAGTCTATCATCGAGTGAATCAGACGCTGAAACAGTGAGAGTTTTTACCAAATGACTGGCCACTGCTGCACGGACAAGTGGAATGCGCACGAAATCAGCAAAGTCCCACTTCGGAGTCTATCATCAAGTGAATCAGACGCTGAAACAGTGAGATTTTTTACCAAATGATAAATTAACGGGGACGCTTTAACAGAGTAACAATTAGCCATAGGCGTGGGACGCTGACCACCTGACGGTTACAAAAAGGAATCGAAATATGAAAAAATCTGAGAACTACTGTCCTAACTGGGGCTTCCTATTCCGTCACCTAAATCTCCCCTACAATTGTATTTAATGTTTTGAGCCAACTGTACCACTGTTGTTTCATTGCAAACAGACTGCATGAATCCACCCGTAACATGATTTCGCATCACGTGATCTGATAAGCAGACAGGTTAAAACTGTTCACCCATGTGCTGCTATGCAACAGTTAAGAACAGGAAAGCCAATATACACTCATTTGCAAACTAATTTGGTTTTTCGAGAGACTCATCTGGAACCCAGCTGAATCTCTCGGTTTTGATGTTTCCAGGCAATTGAACGTGCTGGACCAGGCCGCCTCATGTTTCAGTCGCTACGATATTCGAGATATAGCGATACGTATATATTTTCGTAATGCACTACTCATAAGGTTGCTGAAAACTCCTCGGCAGCCCACGACCGGTTTCGCCCTTCTTGGGGCTCATCAGGTAGGCGCAGTTCCCGAGTTTCCGTCAACCTTATGTTCTACTTGAAACCAAATTGCACGAAATTAGCGAATATACACTCATTTGCAAACTTATGAGTAGTGCATTACAAAAACAGGAAAGCCACTTTATTGGTTGGCTACGACTAACACCAGGACTGTCCGTTAGGTTTATAAACTTCGACACCTCGTTGCCTAACGCTGTGAACCGACGTGAATTTATCGGTGCACTTTTAAAGAGCGTAGTGAAGCATACCGATGGGTCGACGGTTTTTCTGATCCGTAATGGAATGTTTGCAATCGAATTGCACAGCTTAGTGAACAAACTAACGACCATCTACCTCATGCCTCATCATATCATGCGAAAACGAAAACACGCCGTATGAACTGCTTAAATGTCGGTTTTTGTCATAGCCAAGTACTGCTTTTCGATTAGCGACTCCACCTTCCGCTTATTCCTTGTTACAGATGCATTTCAGCTAGCTAATTGAAGTTCTCTATATCCAGGTTTTCAAATCAGAGGACCCGAAGAGCCTATTGGGCTTTGCCTTAGCCGAAGTAACCGGTGCCTGTTTACAAGTGACTGTCAGAGATTTCCGCTTCATCTTATAAGGCAGCTTTTGCTGTAGCGTACTGGCATCCCTCAAAAACTTCCCTAAGATGCTCTGCGGCGTCTTTTGAAGGCATTCTTGCTCGGACGAATTTCTTTGCGTCCTTGTAGGCACAAGGCATTCCTACGTTCCCCTACCCCCCATACGAAAATATAAGCAATGAATTATCGCCAAACGCATCCGGAATGATTGACCTGGGAGCAAAAATGGCTGATTCCATAACCGTTGTGTGTACCGCGCACGGCGTAGGTTCATTTATAGATGGGAATAAGAAAGTAACTTCATAAATTCGCGCCCCTCAGCCCAGTTTAGAGCTTCTGTGTGCGCCGAATGACAGTCACTTGCAAGTTGGATGAACAACTGATGAGGAGAAAGGGAGTCAAAGATCAGTGGTAGACTTAGTAGTGTTTCTCACATTGTGACATCACCAGTGAATAAAATTTTATCTAGACTGTATCCATATGGAACGCTTCAGGTGGAAACAGAATGTATTATGTATAT